GTGAGTGTGTGTTAGCGTGTGAGAATGAGAAAGCTAGAGTCCCCATCGGTTAACACGGGGTAGAGCTTAACTTTCCCGTGGTATGCATATTTACATTTGTTTATATCGTATATTTTTGTCGTGCATATTTATTTAGTAAATTTTATGTATGTTATTTGTTTCGTGTTCGTGTAGGCGTAACGCGCCGTTGTGGGCTGGGCCCACCCGCAGCTGCGGAAGCCCTGCGGGGACAGGAGCTGGACGCAAGGCAGTCGAGCACTAGGTGAGGGGGCGCAGAGCCCACCGAGCCGCAACAAGGATGTACGTGGCGACCACCTTCCAAAGAAATTTTCTCGTGACAATTTTTCCAGCAATGCTTGCGCAATTACCCTAAAATCCCATAGATAAGAGCGGTTTAATTTACCGGTGAAAAATGAATGAAAAAGATTGAAATTGAATGCAGTCACCCCTCTAACTTGATGGATGGATAAATAAAAATCGGAGAAGAAGTTTAGAAAAAAGCTCCGCCCCTCAACTCTAAACAATTCATATAGAAAAATAGCGACTTTAACGGAATTTCGGAATTTCTATATGAATTGCTTATTAAGTGGGCGGGGTTTAGAGTTGAGGGGCGGAGCTTCTTCCAAACTTCTTCTCCGATTTTTATTTATCCATCCATCAAGTTAGAGGGGTGACTGCATTCAATTTTAATTTTTTTCACTCATTTTTCACCGGTAAATTAAATCGCTCTTATCTATGGGATTTTAGGGTACCTAGTTGAGAGCCGTACCCATTGAAGTCTCGCCAATTTCAGATTTGAATGGACGGTGCCTTCAGAGCAGCTCTTAGAAGGTAAAGATTGGTGAGGTCAAACTTGTGATTAGTGAAGAACTTTGAGCGCAAAAGTGCATAAGTGAAGTCATCTTCGCTAATAAAGCCGAGCAAGAAATTTGAAAGGAGCTGAATTATTTTCATGAACGGATTAATTTGTATAAGCAGATTGTATCAACTCTACACATTTCTTGTTCATTGTCGTAACGCTAATGTAGTGCAAGTGTCTTGAACTTTCTTAACTATGTGCAATCCAGACTTGTCGCAGATTTTTATAAGCGAGGAAATCAACATATAATGCAATGCTACTTGAACTGTTCATTAAACTCACTAGGCAACCTATCGTAAGCAAAAATCTGAAAAAATTCGTAGAATCTGCTCTCCTACTGTGTTCAAACAAGCACTTTTTTCATATCAGAAGATATGTCGCGCCGAGCTGAGTCAGTGATGTTCTTAGATTAAAATTCGTTCACTCTGAAGCGAATATGGCCACCTTACGGCGATATCGATGAACTGGGCGGCTTCGCGTCGTTTTTGATATAGTACTTTCAGTGCCGAACACATTTTAGTCATGCAACTGAGAGCCAGAGCAGAAAAAAAAATTCACATAAAATTTTTGCTGCTTATCCAACTTTCCATATTTTTGAATGAAGGATCGAGTGGAATGAGGTTCTAAAAACCGAATGCAATATTTTTTGAGTAACTTTTCTCCATGCACTCGACTGTCTTATATTTTCAACTTTATTGGGCCTAATCTTCGCTCCAACGTCGCTTCAAAGCAAATTTGTTACTTATTTCAGTAATGGCAATCACTTGAGCTTTTTGGATTTTGAGAGATGATTTACTGGGGCCGCACTTTGAAATTCTGGCGATCAAAATCTAATTAGACGAAAAATTGCGAACATCAGAAAAGACATTGAAGAGCAAAAAAGAGAATGCTAGACACAAAATTGACACGAAAATAACTTCGGTTTGACATACCTAAAAACGTGGAGCCAAAGCTGGTCTTTCACAAAAAAAAATCATGTAAATAATTATTCACCCACCGAGATTTTGTGGATTCGGATTTTTTCAGATTCAGAGTGAAATCTAAGTGGAGCCGGTACAGCAAGCTAAAAAGTGTAAATTTTCAGAAGATTACGAGGGTTTTCACTTATTAGGTCGTAAAGAATGTTCCGGGGTACTTGCGAAATTTTTTTCAAATCGCTGTAACTTCGAGCAGATTGATCCTTTTTCAGAGCTACAAATTTCATTGCAAAGAGAATTTTGTCTACAACATATACTTGTCGTACTGGCTTTTCAGCATATCATAACGGTACACTAGCATACGCAGAAGGAAGAAAGGCCGACGCGAATGGCCTATTTATGCAGAATTATCTCAGGCAGGATAACAGCTGGAGACCCCAAATGCTGTAACTATATAGAAGTCTGCTGGGGCTGTTATGAGGACCATTCATGTTTTTGAGGAACTTTGAAACATCAACCTTTTTTGCCCCCAAAAATGCACCATTTTTCGAGTAAGTAACTTTGAAGTCTTCTCATTCTGCATAGGGAAAAGCAAATCTTTGATTACTGAGAACATTGTTGGGGTAATGCCTTACACACCTTTTGGATCCATCACCCAGGCGCGGCGATCCCTGCAGAAGCGAGTCAGCTGCGAAAAGAGTTGCAGGCAGAGGCAAGTTCGACAGCTTGTAATTTCTGAGCACAATATCGCAACACTCGAGTGCAGCTACGGGCTAGAAGTCAACAGGCTCCTCAAACAGATCACCTATGATTTGGACGAAATTATTAAAACTGTACAAAGAAATGGCCTCAGAAAAAAATTGAAAAATTTTTATGGTCGGAAGGATTTCCTTTTTTGATGTGCAGATCAAACACGTTTTGTCATCGTTAGAAACCAGAAGCGGCATTAAAAAGTTTACGCTTCGCTCTACTCTACTGAACACTATACAACATTCGGTGTCAAGGTCCGGCCGAGCGCAAAAAAATGCGTTTAGAAATGAAATTTCCAAAAGTGCCCCGGAACTTTATTTACAACCTAATACTCAGGTGACCCTTTCCCACTTGCCGTATCGGCTCCAACTTTTAACATTCGTTGCGGTTAGAAGCACACCCAAAGGCATCTTACGCCACATTGAGGCAGTGGGGCATGAGAGGGTTGTGAAGATTTGATTAAAAAAAATGCAGTACAGAGTAATCAAAGGAATGTTCGAAGAAAATTTTTCAGGAAAAGTTCAAAGTTTGGAAAAGTTCCAATTGAGGTCAAGCAAGCATTCGCGATGAGCACACAAAAGTGAGCGTCAAAAAGGAGAGAGAATTATGGCGAGTGCAGAGGCTAAAAGTATCAGCTAAATTTGTTAGCACTTTCGTTCGAAGAACCTCAACAATAGCCATACTGTTTGGAATGATCTATGAAAACTGACGCAGGCGCAGTTTGACTCACAAATGTTCTTCGCTTCTTGGACTGCACTAATCTGTACTAGACATGCGGACAGCGGTTGTCTAGTCAATTCTTGACACTACAACGAAGGAATAGAGATTCCTACATCTACATGGCAAGATATTTTGAGATTACATAACATTTCGACGGATGGCATCGATTTGAAAGTTTTGTGTAAATCTTAGGTATAAGCAGAGCATTGAATTTACAATTCAAACTGTAAGAAGTAATCAGTGCAAATTAGCGCTTCGAAAACTAAAAAATCGCTTTGAATTAACGAAAACAGAGAGAATCCTTGAGCGGCAACGCTTCTTCCAGTAGCGATATTGCACTTTTGCAGGGGTATGAGTGATTTTCTTGTTCAGCAGGTCAAATTACCCCATGATGCAAAATCTGTGCGAAGTTTGACAATGCTAGCTTTTGGCATTGACACAGTTCCAACTTCTTGGAACTGTCGAAATTTGCAGAAATCTTCGAGGGCGTTGTCGCATTCAAATTCTTCAACTTTTTAAGGGCGCTAGATCCCGATTTTTCTCTCACTCTCCTAAAACAACTTTTTTCACTGAGCTTGGTACTGACCTCCAGCTGCACCTTTGAATTTTTTGTTTTAATTGCTTCATTCAAGTATGCATAACTTATTTTTTGGTTTAAAACTGTAAAAATTCAAATTCACCAGCTTTTGAGGATTGAATTAGTATCCCATCCTATTCTGAAAAAGCAGATTACTAAAGCATATCCTTGCACATCACATCTTCATTTTGTCCAAGCTTGACGCAGCCGATCATTAAAGAGAAAAGGTTACTGTTCCGTGATTCGTACCCATTTTTTCCAAGAGCTGAAATACACGCTTCAGTCTGCAAATTTTTTTCAAAGATTCTGAAAGAAATGTCCATCTGCCCCGTGTTAGTAAAGAATTAACACGATTTGGTTTAGCTTGGCACGTTTTTATTGAAATCATATCGATAAATTACGAGAGCAATTAAGACAACTCAAAAATTGTTCAGTAGTTTTTCAGGAAAGCAAAAAAGTCTAAGAAGCTTAGTAGAACATCTTGAACGCTTCAACAATAATTCAAAATCTCCCTCTATTCAAAATGCAGGGGGACGAGTGGGTAGTGGTATTAGGCGCTGCTATAACTAGATCGGACTCAGGTTTAATCCGCGTCGCTAGGCCAACGAAGCCCTCTACCCTCCGGGGCCGGTAAATTGCTCCCAGAGTAAACTGAGAGCATAAAAGCACTGACTTGGTAATCAGCTGGCTTCCGCAAGTCTTGCAATAGGCCCGCACGCATTCATCAGCCTCTTCGACGTTGAAGTAGAGTGGCTCGGCGCATGCCCGCAAAAGGTATTAAAGAAGCCAAAGCCTTTATCCAAACTGCTTCCACCTTGCGACCAGGGTAAAGCGGGGGGGTGCGGCACACGACCGTCGGATACGACCCCCCCCCCTTGGGCCGGATCTCGGCACGACCCCCCCCCTCCCCCTCCCCCTCGGAAAAGTCCATATAGCTAGAAATCTATATAGATCAAACTATTATTATTCTTACTGTAACATCGATATATGTGTGAAATAGTGGATAAAAGATATATTTAGAGCAGAGGTTGGGTATGGGTCAAACAGAGGTATATTGATCAAACAAGTAAATGCTAAGAGACCGTCAGGTTCGATAACAGTAGTAGCTTGAGTGGGGGCACGAATAGAGAGATTATTTGATAAAGGCTTTCTGATTACATAAGAAAAAGGTGGAATAGGTGGGTATACTCTCCTAGGAAGTGGCAGCTTTCCTCAAGTGTCTAGAAATTAGGCAATTCAGGGGGTGTCGCCGACGTACGCAAAGCTTCGCTCTGTCCCTCTGAAAGTGACATGGACTATTTCAAACGTGTCACTACGAAATAATCTGAAGGTGAAGACAAAACCTACTTCTAGGATGATTATTGAAAACGCGCATCGACTGAAACTGTCGCCCATTCAGCGACATCACTGCATGAGTAGATGTACGTACAAAGCGTCCACCCTGAAAGGTACAGGTATCAACGGCAATGAAAGCTGACCAAAAGTGTTTAGATCCAAAAATCAAACCTTCCAATATCTCGAAAGTGAAAAAAAAAACAGTGCTAGACGCAAATGGCACTCGGAGACTGGACGCCGTTGCGTCCAAACACGATAGTTCGCGAGGAAGAGACCGTAAATAGTGACGAACAATAGTCCTTCTGAGCTAAGAGATGCAGACAGAGTCCGCAGAGCGGCCTGCCTCTGCGTGCGACGAATTGAACACTCATGCACTTGCAAACAGACACAAACAACCACAGTAAATCGTGCAAACAGCTCATTGTGGTCGAGGAGGCCTCTATCGTGCATTCCTCCCTTGATTTCCCACTCGATGATTATTTCTCGACTGAGTTTCGAATTTGCAGTCACCACTTTCATCTCGCATCGGGCAGAGTTCACGCGATTTCATCGTCGCGATTAATCAAGACAAGACAACTGTAACAATATCTTTGCATATTGATCTTCTTGCATTTGGTTGTGCTCATTTTCCAACACGACTAATCGTTAATAACTATCACAACCGAAATACAGGAAGATCGGCATGCAATGAACTCGTAACACTTGCCCAGTCGCGACGATTCGCGACAATGAAATCGCGTTGAACTCTGCCCGAAACCTTACATAATTACCATGCAAAAGGCCCAATTTTGATAATGAAGAAAAGATCATAAAAGTACGAGCCATCGAGATGGAACAGCTATAAAAGAGATCCAGAAACGAATACAAAATAAGCTCAACGTACCACTACTATCCTCGCGATAGTCTAAAAGAACGGTGTCCCCAGCATGGCGTTCAGAGAAACGACTCAGCAGTTGTACCACTTCTGAGTGCTCGTCGCAGTCATCCGGAGTCAATAAAAGAACAGTCGGCTTCAATTGAAATTCGATCTCTGTGAGCGACGCACTCTTACGCGGAATAAAACGTAGATCAGAAGTCTGCCATTAGAACAATAGCTGAAAAATCGACTACTCGAGACTAAGACTGTGAAAAAAATTTACAGCTAAGCGCAAATAAAATTAAAAAGCTAGAATAGAGCATTTCACGCAGACTTCGCCAAGATAGACTAGCTCTGTCGTGCAAGATGAAATCAACATAGTATGATCACACAACTTACATTCAGATGGAGAAGCTGCTACTTCATCGCAAACAAGTAAGCAATCGTGGCGAGGAATGGGTGCTGTGGGAAATGCTACATTTTATTGGTCCAAAAGCGCGTTTGTTTCATCGGAAATGCCCTGGAAAATTGTTAACATAAGCGCACCATCCCTAAATGGAGCAGTCATCAAAGAGAATGAAACGAAAACAAACACGGAAGCACTCAGGCAGCGGATAGGACCCCTCCGCCGGAGAAATGGCAGGGTCGCGGCGTTTCCCCAGCGGTGGGTCTCCCATTTGTCCGGCGGAGCCCTCCCACTTCTCCGGCGGAGACCTCCCATTTCTGCTCCGGATACCTCCCATTTTCTGCTCCGGATACCTCCCATTTTCTGCTCCGGATACCTCCCATTTTCTGCTCCGGAGCCCCCCAATTTTCTGCTCCGCAAGTCTGCCGCGGCATACTGTAATTAGCCCTAATCAAGCTCCAAACCCCATATGGGTTTGGAGCTTAATTAGGGCTAATTACAGTATGTTGCGGCAGACTTCGTCTTGTCTCTAAACTTTGTCGACTTTGTCTCTAAACCCCACCCAAATCAGCCGAATACGACCCCCCCCCCCGGGTAAGAGTTCAGCGCGACCCTCAACCCCGTCTTTACCCCATCTCTCTCACCCCTAGCGTTTGTGGATAGAAGATAGAAGAAAGAACGAAGAGATAAGACATTTATTTCAAATTTTTCAAACTTCTTCGAAAAATCATTTTATATCGTTAATCATTTCACACCCACTGGTGTAACGAAGAATGAACCTTTCCAACCAAACAACGGTTTGTGGAACAGTTAAATTGCAGTCGCAGTTGGCCCATATCATCGGCGACTCTTAAAAGCCTTAAAAGCCTCTTAAGCCTGATAAACTCCATTAAATTTTTCTGAGATATGTGAAAGACATCTTACCATTACGTAGTAATCTCCGAGGTTGATCTCTTGGGTTTTGCCAACAGGTGACAAAGCAGTCAGAAGCGCCTTGTTCTGATCGGTTACTCCTTTAGCGGCGAGATTAAAATTGGTCATAGCCTAAAAGAGCTACCAGTATATACTGAAGTTATTAGAAAGCTGCTTGTATTACACACTTTCAAGGGTTTTCCTATTCCAGAGTATGCAATGGCACTGTAAAATGTCATGACAGGGCGAAGTTCATCAGGGATACTGCTTGCAGATAAAGTGCAAAGGTTCTAAATGCACCAAGTCCATTGCGTGATATAATGGAAAAACATGAATTGAATCAGTGGTATTTGAAAATTATAGCTTGCAAAGACACCTACCATCAAAACTGCATACTGCTCATGCAATGCTAAAGATCTGGCCAAGAAAACCTGCGCGGAATATGGTGATAGAAATAGTAATCCAGCCTGGACATAATATGTTTGACAAAACAAGAACGACACTGCATTGAATTATACCTCGAGTATTTTGTCCAGAAAAACTTTGAATTCCGGGGATGGGTCAGCTTCTTCAAAGCGTCCTATGTGCGCTACCTTACTCAGCCAATCCACGCCCTCTCCTTTGAAGAACCAACTACATAGGGACACCTGCACATTATCCCTAGAAAGATTTCGAGACACTAGATTCCGCATATCTGGGACACGCATGCGTCTATTCAGGCCCACTTTGCCAATTTCAGAGACAGCTGATCGTCAAACAATCTATAATATTGATGATATGGCTGAGTTTCCTTTCGAGATCAGAAAACTCAAACATCGGATAGTCGTAACGCCCCTGAAATCTTATTGAAATACCACAAACTTGAGAAAACTGTTTTTACCCACACTGTCTTCAGAGTAGAGCTGAATTAATGCTAGCAAGCTCCGCGCAATATCAAGACGCTGTTTCACCACGTGCCGTAGTCGTGCTGCTATGAGTCCGCAAGTAAAGGATCCACCAAATAAAGTGTCATCGGGAGTCGGCTCTACTGTACTATCATTCATTCAAACAAAGGATAAGTAGAAATGCTAGATACCAATGATACCTGGGGGAGATTGAGATGCTTGGATGGCTTCCAAGAACAAACTTATGATTTGAGACCATTTCTGGACCACCTAAGTTTAGAAATCCGTAATCACTAATATCCGATAAACGCATGTCAAATCTCACAATCTGTGATCGCATGAAAGTAGAATCATGGGCGGGTCCGTCCGACATCACATACTCAGCTAGCCCAAGCTCGTCTTCCTCCTGAATTCTGAGGATAAATGGTGGTTTGAAACGCCCAGTAAACAAAAGTCCTCTTCCCCTGATATGAGGCTAACATCATGAAAAAAGAAAAGTAAAAACAAGGATTCACCAACAAAATCAAACAATTTGACTAAAGATATCAAACCTTAGCCGCAGCTCTCTCCAATGCGATAGAAACCATTTTATCCATGCCTTCAGGTGGTTGGTGCCTCACGGAACACAACTTCTTCTGCTTTATCGTCTGGGAAAGAAACGCGGTGAATTAAACGTTGTTAGAAAGCAAGCTCAGTCCTTTCTTGACATTACTCACATTTATTGGCATGTAAGGTGACAACAACCAGTTGTCCTTCAGCCATGCAATAGGCGATCTAAATGATAGACTGCAAAATTTACTGCGTACTTTAGATGAGGATAAACACACCTTGGTAAACTGCGGCTCGTGCACAGGGGCTTTCAATCCGAGTGTCACGGTCGACGTGGTTCACCCCCTCGGGAGCCGCGTCGCATGGGTCTCTCACGTGGCACAAGGCCGCATCCGCTAAGGCCTTCGCGTTACCGGGTGCGGTCGTGTACTACACAGATAACCGCCGGGGGCAGGCGGCCATGCGAATTTTGAGCAAGCGCGCACCGGAAAAATAGTTCGTTGATTTTTTGCGGCCCGCTTGCAGAAATTTGGAAGAAAGTTTGCAAAATTAAAGACGAGTGCTTGAAGAACAATCGCGGTTTCTTTATGGATTAGCTGCGGCGCAGTGGCCGCATTCTCGCGGACTTTCCGCGAGAATATGCAAAAATTTCGAGGGCCGCACGTTCCTTTGTGGACCGCGCAACCCCCAGGTACTTTCCGCTGAGAGAAAGTACCTCAAACTTGAGTAATTAAACCAACGGTGACACCTCTGCCACACAGAGTCTTACCTGCGCTCGACGTACGCCCGAAAATACCTAGAAAGAGTCCGAGCGCTTGCTGAAAGTTTGGCCAGCGCTCGCTGGAAGATATTATTTGACGAGCGCTCGCAGAAAATTCTGTATTGCTGCCCGCTGGCAGAACGCGGAAGTACCGCCCGCTGAAGGTTTGGCCACGCCCCAAAATTCTGCTGACCGCCTGCAGAAAAGCGCGAGTTTGCGGACCGCCTGCTCCCGGCGATTATCTGAGTACGTGAGAGACCCATGCGACGCGGCTCTCGAGGGGGTGAACCACGTCGACCGTGACACTCAGATTGAAAACCCCTGTATAACAGATGCGCGAAACGCCGCAAGCATTGCCGCAAGCATACGCATGAGCTCCGTGCCCAACCAATCAATAACTCGTGATAAAGAGAATAAAACGATCAGGGAACTGACTGTTCGCGGAAAACGTGCAAACGCCTGAAGATGGCTCAACATTTGCATTGATGGAATGCAAAGCGGCATCTGAAGACAATCAAAAAATCAAAACTCCCGAGACCTCGAGAAAAGAAGTAGAGCTGTGACTTACTAGTATTCACTACGAATGTCCGCACTGGTTTTGGCGCAAAACTCTCGGTGAAAACAACCTCTGTATCGTAAATGGGATCCATACCAGTAAACACAGATATCTTGAGTTGGTTTGGTTACGTCTAAACATAGTGTATACTTAACTGAAGTCAAAATCAACAACAACAACAGAAAGAGTAGAAGTGCTAAAGCTGAAGGTAAAAAAGCTGCATTACGAAAATTTTGAAAGCAATGCTGCACAATGCAATGCATGCTCTTCACAGTTCATTACCTCTGCCCTGAAAACAAAATACGGTATGTAAAAAACAGTCATACTGATAATTCGCGGAAAACCGCATGATAATCCCACACAGACACGCGAGATGCGAACCACGCAAACGGCAAAGTGATTCATCGGTGGAGATAGCAATAAACGGATTATTTAGACGATACTTTCATCACAACAACACTAGATAGTTGCGCAACTAACCTCATTGTTTCGAAAATCCAGAATTAATCACAAAAACCACTCCGTCAATAGTCTACGATGTCTCAGCAAGTCGGAAAGAGCCAAACACTGAAGGTGATTGAGTGCAACCGCACGAAAATTAGAAACATAAACCTGAAAACGAGGAACTTACAGCAACATAAACGCCAACGCGACGAAGAGCAACGCGGAAAAGAAAAAAAACGGTAAAGAAACGCGCAAAAACAACAAAATCAAAGAAACGGCGACTAAAATATGAACCAAGAGCGTAAACAGAGGACTCTTCACCTTGGAGTTAGACGTTTGCTTGCTACGCGCCAAATCGATACGCAGCCTGCTCCGGATACCTCCCATTTTCTGCTCCGGATACCTCCCATTTTCTGCTCCGGATACCTCCCATTTTCTGCTCCGGATACCTCCCATTTTCTGCTCCGGAGGCCTCCCATTTCTGCTCCGGACCCCTCCCATTTTCTCCGGCGCGGCTCTTCCAAATTTGGCGGACACGCGCCGCGCAAATTTCTCCGGCGCGGAGTCCGCCAAATCTGGCAGAGTCGCGCCGGAGAAATGGCGGACCTTTGCAGCAGGGCCGGAGAAGCCTCCCATTTGCCTGCCAGTAATGTCACCGCGATGGACCGCCCATTTGCCCTTCTCTCATTGGTCAACTGGGTCCGGCGCGACTCTGGCAGTTTCGGAGGGTCCGGCGGAGGGGTCCCGTCGATTGTCTGAGCAAGAACAACTAAAAAATGGTCGCATTAACAGTACAAAGCATTCAAATTATCCACTTTGCCGCGTCCCTGCAACTTACGTACCGGACCAGAGCCGGCGTCTTACCGTAACCCATATTTTTTTCGCCCTGTTTCGGTGAATGTAATGGAAAAAGGCTCCATAACTTCTTTCGAAAGAAACGATCTCGAATGAAATTTTTGCTTCAAAGAGGAGAAGGTTCACTAATTGCACGGATGTAGATAGCGTTCATGATTAACCTGTTTGAAGGAGACTTAATGGCCTGCGGCACCCCCTTCAAAACCTGCGGCAGCCGCAGGTTTTGAGGGGGGTGCCGCAGGCCATTAACTATATCAAAAAAACATTTTTAGCGGACAATATTTATATGAATCAATAGCCTAAACCTCGTAGATTCCATAGGGATGTTTTGAGCCTGATTCTTCTTCTTAGCTCTGAGTAATATTTGGTGAAAGCACAGCGATCAAAAGCTAAAAGCGATTTTGGTTGGCTTCTAATTCAATAGTTTGGAGGTCTTCTGAAGCGGGATTCCTGAGGTGGACAAAGAAGGAGTAGTGCTTCGTATTGAGTGCAAGAAGAGGTAGCTTACTCACCGTTAAGATGAAGTTAATCATGTTTTAAATTGCTGCTTTGTACAAGGTTGTTTACTGCTCGGAGACCTCAGAGTTCGCTGAAACTTGGCGCATAGGGGTTATTCGACACGCGGATTACGACAATTATGCTTGATTAGAGGTACGGTAGGTTACGGTAGGCATACGGTATCTGCAAGTTTGTGTCGTTGAACTTGATCTTTGCAGGATTTCAACAGCGCTTTCATCAAGTCAATTTAGTCACACAGCTTGTACAAGTGCTTTTGACCTTGGGTCGATACGACCCCCCTACCTACCCCCCCCCCCCTTACGACCCCCCCCCCCTCTGCGGCGTGCCGCACCCCCCGCTTTACCCTGCTTGCGACTTTGGAGAAATTATGATTACTGATTTGACGTATGACACTTGTTTCGGCGGTCTGAAGTGAGACACTAGTGCATTTTCTTAATGTGGGCAAATCCGATGTGTTATTGAGATCGTAATGACATCCTTATACTCTGAATATTCACTTTTAAAATTGTTGAAACAAAAATGGGGTCATTATTGATTAAAGAACAAACTAGATCTACTTTGATAAGTGAGGAACACAAATTTTTGGTAGAACCTGTTGAAGATGTAGATAGCAGGCCATTTTGGGCAGGAGAGGTTGGCAATCTTTTCTATAAAGTTGGGACCAAATATGGTTCAGAGAAAGAAGCAATATCTTCCAGGGAAAAAATGGGTCCGTGTAACGGAAAAGTACCAATAAGTTGCAAAAGTTGCTGCAAAACTTATGCATCAACCTAGATGATAGTAAGTTCTGCAAAGCATTCTCCTAACCCTGCTTTTCCAAACCCTGCTTCAACCCAGCGTACCTTAGGTATCATGAGCAGTCAGATACGCAATTAGCATAGCATACAAAGCCTAGTCTGTGTATATTCTAAGCCCCCGCCCCATCCATCAACTCTTTCGCGATGCATCCATCAATCATGAAACCGGGAATTCATTAGAATCACAAAATTGATCTTCATCAATTAACTGCTCGATTTCGATTAAAATACGGATTCGGGGGTTTTCTGAAGCGCTCTTTGAAAACATGCTATTGGTTTTGCACTGTCTTTTCTTACAGGAGCCGAAATTTTGCTTTGGTGAACTGACTTTATAGCTTATGAACTGACTTATAGCTTAAGAAATCTTGACAAAAAAATGAAGCACGCCTTAGGACACATGTAAAACTGCTTTTCCACTTTTTCTCTCGCAACGTTAGAAGAATGACCCATTTTTTCTAGTGAGAAAAGCATGTCCTGAGAATGTAACCTTAATGATAATGATTTCATACTTTTAAGTTTATGGATTTTTTTTGCATAAAATTGAAAATTTCTAATTTGGCACTTTCATATTCAGTTTTGTCTTATCCTCCTGATTACAACCATCGTTTTTTCTTTCTATTAGCTCCATTTTGAGCCTCGCAGCCCTCTTTTAGCACATTCTGGCGCTGAGCCAGCCCCGATGTCCCCAGGTATTGCCGGGTTTTCTGGCATGTCTTGCTATGCCAAAAAGGTGCAATATGTGGGCTGGGCTTAGCTTAGCGCTGTATCCTAAGGAGCTATGCCTAATTGTACCCCGCAGACACACACCCATGAGGTGCGAGAATATCGCGGGTAGGTAAGTTCCCCGGGGAAAATATGCTAATAGTATACGAAACGCAAAATATTATAGTTCCTTGTCTAACTTACGTCATTTTTATTTGCAGCGCAGTTTTGTTGGTTCAACAACTGTCTCGTTATCGCCAATTCAAAATGTCTGCTATCGCAGCTGAATTTCTCGGTGTGCGAATACAAGTCAGTCTGCAAACAAAAATAGCGTCAAGCCTGCTGTATATCCCATTTGTTTTGATGCAAGTCACTAAGAAATGCTTCCATAACTTGTCTTTGCTGCTCTGCAAACTCGCTGGAGAAAATTCTCGAAGAGTTTTTTTCTTATAAAATTAGACAGATGAAGCTAGTCATCAATATTTTTGAAAGCGGCAAAAAGCACAACCATATCTATGTTTGTAACATATGCATAATAATACGCATTTTCCAAACAAGGGATATGAAATCTCCAAACAGCGATACCATAATGTGATAACTTTTAGTCAAGTAGCAAAATTTGTTTGGTCGTACCGCAAGTTAGCTAAGGCAAAAAAATGATCTAATCAACTTCAAAAAGGCAAGCATAGATAAACCTTGATATTCTGGATTTTCGAGTGCAGAAAACTTGCTTTTTTTGGTTTTTTTTTCCAAGTTAATCCCTTATTACTGTCTGTTACTGCCTGTTCATGTTTCTCGACAATATTTCCATAAATCGTCACATCTTTTTGCACTGGATAAAAAATGATAACGTCTGGTAGAGCTTCTTATTTCCAGCAATGGTGAATTTCACTTGGGCTAACTGTGCATTCGTACTGTTAACATCTATTACTCTGCCACTCTATCTGCTGATATTGACAGTGATTTGGTGGAGACCAAAATTATCTCTGTTTCATATTCTAATGCTCTCACAGGTATTAAGAACCTTATGTTCTTACTTATGTAAAATGCTGATTTTTAACCACTTCCAGGGAGTTGCTGACATATTTTCCATAGTTTGTTATGACTTGCTTATAATTCTCCCCAACACCAACCTCTGTGACACCTTCTTTTGGCAGAATCGATATCTCCTAGCAAATTTGACAATAGTTTTGATTAACTATAGTCTTTATCTAAGATATATCGGTATCACATTGATATCGCTACACAGATATATCGCCTTGTGTCAAAATGGGAGAAAAGTCGAATACGTGAGATTATCTTAGTTTTTGAAGTTAGCGGGATATTTTCAATAAGCGACATGCGACGCTCAACTTCCTCTCTGAGGCCTAAGCTGTGAGCTGGACAGATACAGTTTTGAAACGCATAAAAATCTAAATAACGGTCAACAAAAAAACAGGAAAAATGAAGTGGTACTTTTACCACCGTAATTGCTATTTGTCGTCAAGCGGAGATGAAGAATGAAGGAGAACTAGCCAAAAATCTTTTGAATAGCTAGAATTCTTAATTTATTCAAAGGCATATATTGGCCCTATTTGGCCATAATTATCACTGATTGGATCTATCACGAACTAATTTCATTCAAAATATAAGCGATACTACTTCAAAGGAAGTCCAGGGTTCTCTATTGCCTACTTTGTTTGTGTCATAGGGACTGGCTCATACCGTATATGACACAATTTGATTAGTCAGATCAGCTACATAGTAGATCCTCCAATCCTACTGCAAATCTGATCAACTATTCAGTTTACCTTTGTAATTTTTGTGATTGTGAGGATCATCAGAGCAGAAAAGGAGAAAATTGGACTAAGTTGGACTAAGAGTAGAATAAGTTATGAGCAGGGTTAATATCAGTGAACGAATTTAAATTTAGCTATCAATCATTAGTGAATGGTTCATCAATGATTGATTTGTAGTTAATTTTCCAATTAGAAAGTTTTAAAATATTACCTATCTAAAAATGTGCTCGGATTTCGATATGATTGTTGTTATGCCTTAAAGCATATTATAGATTCCTGCACATGGGGTAGATGTATTCAATCGCACGTTTTTCCACTATTTTCAAGCTTCATATGCTCAAAGAACTTTGAGCTGATATCAAATAATGTTTGTGCACAGAAAATGTTACCAAAATAACAGCAAACTGTAAAAAGATCAATATTTCAGTTCAGTTTCATCACTTAACTTCTCCAGAAAATTGAACTTACCCTATTTTCAGATATATAAACCGCACTTTTTTAAATTTTCGAACGAGCTGCTCAGCAGCTTCACTATGTTTCGAAAAGCAATTCTTATGCCGCACGATTTTATAAAGCAATACGTAGCACGGTATAGGTCCTTTGATAGCGAATATTTCTGGCCTTTTAGGGGTGGTCGATTTTAGAAAAAAAATCCTCTGCGGCTTATACACCTGAAAATAGGGTGATTATGCCAACAATCAGCGTTCGTTTTCTAAGCTAAAAAAATTAGGAGGATCGTAGGCCAAAAATTCTGCTGCTCTTTTAATCAAGCGGATCTTATCTTAAATGTCTTTGCTCTACAAAACAAGGAAACCGTGATTTATCCTGGCGTACGATCTCTCATGCCTTATTTGTGAAACTCAAAACTGTGTAAGTTGGCTCTGTTTACCTTACTAATTGCACAATTCTTCGCTCACTTATGCGCAATGCATAAAATTTATTTATCAAAGCTCAACTGCATGTTTCACAAATCTCGCAGTAGATTGCAGTGGGAGATGTTTGATGTTTGTTGGGAATAGCAAGCTCAAGAAAGTTTGTAATATTATTGTGCCAGCCGCTGACACTTACAAATTCGTGCCCAGACCAATAAAAAGGCTATTTAAATAAAAACAAAAAATACAAGATGAGGATTCAAAATTGTTATGAAATTAAATTAGTGAAAAAACAAAAAACATAAAAAAGGGAAAATCCGTTTCATTCCATGTCTCAAACAATTTTCATAACAAAAATTCAGTGTGACTTCATAATACTCTTGCAGATGATATCGAGGATTCCTCCGGTTGGATTTGTAATGATACATTGGTTTTCTCCTCTTTTGGTCACTATACCTCTGCTGACGTCCTTCAATACCACTTACACACCCGAGATAAAAATCAAGCTACCTGATAATTTGATGGCGGTAAGTCCTTATTTTATTCGCCCTTTCAAGCGGGCTCAAAACATCGCAGAAGTTCCTCGAAAGTATTTGGGCGTAATCGGTGCAGTCTTCATGCTGTTTCAAACATTAATGACCAGCTTCGAGAACAATCAATGAGATCTTGCAAAATAACCAAAAGCTTCGACACATGGGTTTTGCCATGACCAAATTGCGCCACCTTTCGAAACTTACTGACCTCCTTAAAAGCAGTGTCAGGACAAAAACTTGATCTTGAGATTTTGTGCCTACCTGGGTCTTTTCGCTATGCTGAATCGAAAACGCACAGCATGGAGCGCGAAAACTGCAAAAAAAAGGGCTCTAACGAAAAGGTAAATCAGCAGGGGGGGGGAGAGATTCTCCACCGTGAATTCACGCTCCCAGCTTCGCAGCGATCTTCTCAAGTCCGCTGGCCGCTCTGACATCGCCACCGGTCAACGCGTGATTTAAAATCGGAATCGACATAATTTCTCCAGAAGCTGGGAGAGTCAATCTTCAGTGGGGAAACCCGCCCACCTCTGATTTTCCTCCTGTGTTAGAGACCTTCTTCGCCGTTTTCGTGCTCTCCAATGTGGACCTTCAGATTCAGCATAGCGAATAGGCCGGGCAAGCACAAAAATCCAAAATCAACTTTTTGCCCTGGCACTGCCTTTAGGGAATCCAAGAAACTGATAAATAGAGCAAACCCCTTCCTAGGGTATACTAGGACAAATTACTGGGACAAATTTATCCTTTATAAAATCGTCTTATTTTCCGATAGTTTTTTCGTTAGTACCACCAAATTTTAGCAGATTCGCCTCAGACACGAACCCATTAAACACCAGTGAATCTTTCAGATCTCGAACCTTCAAAAATATAGTATGATTGAGAGTCAATTTTACAAGGCAAATATTAAGGATTTAAAATATTAACTTTGTAATTTCCGGGCACAACCTGATAAACGTTCAAAATCATAAATCATGATTATTTTATTCCAGCAAATCTTTAGGAATTAGAAGAAAGGCAATCATGTTAAAAAGAGAAGGAAAAACTGCATTGAATGAACCCTTGCTTGCTGGTTGATGTTCTATGATGTTTGTGTTGCCCCATGGAATCTGATAGCAAAAAATTGATTTTGAAAATTCTAAAGTAAGTTATGGTAAAAAAAGTTGTTGTGTATTCTGTAAGTTTTGCTCTATTTACCCGTTTATCGACTTTTCAAGTAGTCGATATAAAATTTTGAAAAATAGCAAAAGTTGATCATGGTAAAAACCATGGATCGTATTTCTTGATCTTCTTCTAAAAGTTAGTTTATTATACTGGAAGAAGAAAAACATTTCCAAAAAAGATGAAAATGTGCATCGAATGCGTTCAAATTCTGTCAATAGTTTTGTTCCGCGGGATGTTACGCCCGTTCGAAGAAAAAAGCGAATTTACTTCCGGAACGATCTAATATTGGTTGAAGTCTTAAGGCAGGACTTAGTGCCTTTTTTGGAATATGATCGTGACAAACAAGCACTACAATTGAGCTCCTAACTGTGGAGAAAAAAAACGGATCGCGACAAATTTTTCCGTCGCTGCGTTTTTAACGTGAACGTCGAATTTCTATGACTTCTTTTGAAGCAGATTTTTGAAGAAACCAAAGACATCACTGTCATCACCATCACAATTTTCGGAAACACTTCTGTTTGACCTAAAGCGACGTATTTGTTGCGGCAAAACCGACGCAAGGCGCTAATTTCATTGACAATAAGTTTCACGCATCCACATCCGCATTCAAAATTAAATCTGAATTCTAGACCGCCAGATTCGTAGCAGTCCAGTAATGTCTTCAGTTTCCTCAAAAAATCTGCTTCAAAAAAAACAAAAACAATCCGACGGTTTTTTCACGATGAAAACGCAGCGACGGAAAAATTTGTCGCAATCCGTTTTTTTTCCAAGAGTTAGAAGCTTAATTGTATTGTTAACTACACTTACATTTATGCTCCCATAAGTCTGTACCGCCTGCTCCGAGCGTATTTGTTTACTAACAATATATGGCTGTAATGTGGGTAGAGCAAAAGTTACCGAGCTTCAGTTCCAAAAATTCGCTTTGAAACATAGCATTTTTTGTCAAAATTACGACTTACCTTTGAATTGTTTAACGGTAGTGCCTTGAGAAGCCCAAACTATGGAGCCAAAATTCGCCTTGTAAGCTTGCACAAGATGCTAAATTGATAGGGTGACATTTGAGTCGATGCTTACAAAACGTAAAGTATTTGTGGGCAGATAGCTTGATGTATCTCAATTTAATCGAGACAGAACAAGAGGTAATTTCTGCGGCCCCAGAGCTCACTTAGTGATGGTGAAAGAGTTTTTACTTGCACACAATTCCATATTCTTTACTCTGTACTAATTTTCATCCAGGTCGTCAACATTTTATCAATTATTTCGGTCATGATTTCGTTTATCATCTGCGTCTTTTGCTACGTTCCAGTACTATTATTCATGCTGCGCAACAGAAAGTCGGTCAACAGGTACTGATTCAATATCATATTCGCTTGATGTGGAGAATCATTCTGATAAGACATAGCGTAGAATATGCATTATAAAAAAATAGCGTAAATTATGCGCTATGAAAAAATCCTTTATCCATATGAAGCGTCCGTGCAAAATGATGTGGAATTGAATACGCCCGCTCAACGAGCTAAAGAGGGTACCGCAGGTGCCATGCAATCCCATCCCCCCCCCTTTGTCGGAAAATCGCCTTTGATAGTGAAATATTCTTCAAAAACCATAAAACTGATAAAATTCTCGCTTTCTATGCTTTCGCATGTTTTCACGTATCAGATCATCATACTTAAGCCTTTCCTCAAACTTTGAAATCGCAGTGAACATCCTCCGTATATGGTTGGTAGAGAGAAAGGGATCCATAACATACTGGAAAGAGTAGGATGTCTTGTCCTACTTATTTTACCAAATTTATTTTGCTCAAAAAGAGAAAAACATGTTTTTTGACCTGCACCTTGGGTGATTTTGGCTACATCGATATCAAAGTATGAACTACCCATTAATTTGAAAGTAAAAGAAACGAGACATGCTTTCTGAAGAAACTTCTAGAAAATGAATTTTTCTTGCTATACTTTGCCGATTAGTGCGGGAGTGCTAATAAAATTGTGTAAGTGATTTACAGCAAGTACTGAAATTACAAAACCTGGCTCGCTAAAAGCTATTTCGCATAACGATTCAGTGCAAAGTGAAACTTCAATAAGGATGCCTTTGTTTCGCATTAATTTCCAATGATTTATTCCTTTTAGAACAAGGCAAAACGACGTTAGACTGAGCATCCAAGTGGCTGGTCTACTGATAGCCTTTCTCTTGGTTTTTATATACAATGTAGGTAACTACGTAATGCTTTACCTAATAGGGGTTAATCAGATAGTAGTGGTAAGTAACTTTCTACATACATGATCGATTATTGTTCGAAAGCGATACGCGTACTTCGTCATTGATAACCACAATTTATTCAGTTAGATGTCCTCCAATGGTGGAATATGATTTATCCTCTTATGAACGCATTTTTGTGCTGTGTTCTGCCATGGACAAGTCTTCTGCTAAACCATGACATACAAATCAGATTGAAAGCGATGGGACACTGTAGAAAGGCTGAAGTGGTAAGTTCATTAGAGTGGTTGAAGTTTGACTGATATTTTTGCTCACAGATCAACAGCAGCCTATTTGTATCCAGAGCATCTGCCGAAATTTCACAAAGGTTTCTTCGTTAAATGGAAAAAGACATCCATACTTCCCGTTCCAGTTCACATAAAATGGGGTACCGACACCAACAACAGTTGCATCATATTTTTGAAAATTGCATCTTTTTTTGTATCTGAGATAATCGCAGCCATGATATGTTTTACGTACATCTTGATCGTTGTGTGCTCATTACTTTCTTTTCTTTCTTGCTTCAGACAAAGCTCTTCGATTTTGTTCTGAACTAACCAGGGCTGTGTCTATATTGCCCGTGCCAGTGTCGTGCCGGCACGCGGTTCGATCAATAACGAGCCCGTCCACACGGCGCCCGCACGGCGCTGGATGTAGCCCTAAGTTACCTGCATGTCAACTGTTCAAAGGCATAGCATGTGCTGCGTTAAATTTGAAAACCCAACAAAACTTCAGGCAGTACTCTCTATACCTATGTATTAAGTTGCTTCGAAAGTTTTGTCCATTTTTTCAAACTGCTATGAAACCACACACAATAAACAACTAAACGGATTTCAGCATGCAGTCAATGCAGCTTTTCCTTATCCTTCTTACGGATACATTTTCGAACCACAGTCTTGTTTGCTTTTTTTGATAAATGCCAGAATTTTCCACCCGTCAATTTTGTCTGCTCAAAGTTAGGCTAATGTTCAAAAATTTCATTTAAAGTTTCGACAAGAGTTAAATGTGGATCAAATAAAGCAATTGTCGGACTATAAAAGAAGATTTTTAGATTCTTTTAGTCTGCTGTATTTAGCTTCAAAAAATTACTTCCTTGAAGGTCTCGACTTTTTGACAAAGTCATGAGACAGGCAACCGCGCAAATACACAAAGCTTTTAAAGTTTCTGCAAATTTAAACATGAATTTTATTAAACATTATTTGTGCAACGCAACCATGTTTAATTTGCTTTGAGAAAAGCAGCTTTTGGAATTTTCGGTACTTTCACGTGTTAAACGTAATCAAAAACCGCTGTTTTTACTAAACAAATAATTATTTCGGACTTGGTAAATAAATATGGCCCATGTAATCTAAAATTGTTGCATGTAGCCAAAGTCCAATCTATACAACGATTATCGGAGCTCTTTTGAAAACATCAGGACAAAAATTTTCAAAAATTAGAAAAGATTTGCCGTTACTGCTGAACTGCTCAAAAAGCCATGGCTATAACACTGCAAAGATAGGAAAAAATCAGGAAGCAAATCCTCTCCTATAATATAAACCCGATCCCAAAAAACGAGACGGCGAGGATGGTCCGCCCACATGTATGCTTCAGCGAGTGTTTTGAATAGACGCCAGTTTCCGAACGGAGCCTTATTGTGTAGAAACGCGACGGTGCGATCATGAGGTCAAGAGGACGCAGAGGTCCTAGCGCGAACGAGAGGCCACGACACGCAGGGTACGCTCTGCTGCTGCAAAGGGTGTGTTGAAAGACGCAAGCGCGTGCCAAGGGTGTTGAATGCGAGCTGGACATTGTTGCAAAGTTAGTTATAGAAGCATACCATTTGATCCGCTCACCTTCGATCTCAGTATTCATTATGCTTCCACATTTCCGCCCAATTTTGAGACAATCTCCCAAAATCTCGCTTTTGGGAGTTTTTGCTATGCGTGAATCCGATTTTTCTCTCTAGATTGTAAGCGTGAGTGCGAGAATGACATTGCGAAAGGAAGCTGTACAGCGATGACTGGGGCAAGACAAATTTTTAGCACGATATGATCCACTTTTCCGCCAGATTTTGAGAAAATCTTCGTAAATCTCGCTTTGGGAGCTTTTGCTATGGGTGAATCCGATTTTTCTCTCTAGATTGTAAGCGTGAGTGCGAGGGTGACATTGCGAAAGGAAGCTGTACAGCGATGACTGGGGCAAGACAATTTCTTAGCACGATATGATCCACTTTTCCGCCCAATTTTGAGACAATCTCCCAAAATCTCGCTTTTGGGAGTTTTTGCTATGGGTGAATCCGATTTTTCTCTCCAGATTGTAAGCGTGAGTGCGAGAGTGACATTGCGAAAGGAAGCTGTACAGCGATGACTGGGGCAAGACAATTTTTCTGCACGATATGATCCACTTTTCCGCCAATTTTGAGAAAATCTTCGAAAATCTCGCTTTTGGGAGCTTTTGCTATGGGTGAATCCGATTTTTCTCCCCAGATGTAAGCGTGAGTGCGAGAGTGACATTGCGAAAGGAAGCTGTACAGCGATGACTGGGGCAAGACAATTTCTTAGCACGATATGATCCACTTTCCCACCCAATTTTGAGACAATCTCCCAAAATCTCGCTTTTGGGAGCTTTTGCTATGGGTGAATCCGATTTTTCTCTCTAGATTGTAAGCGTGAGTGCGAGAGTGACATTGCGAAAGGAAGCTATACAGCGATGACTGGGGCAAGACAAATTTTTAGCACGATATGATCCACTTTTCCGCCAGATTTTGAGAAAATCTTCGTAAATCTCGCTTTGGGAGCTTTTGCTATGGGTGAATCCGATTTTTCTCTCCAGATTGTAAGCGTGAGTGCGAGAGTGACATTGCGAAAGGAAGCTGTACAGCGATGACTGGAGCAAGACAATTTTTCTGCACGATATGATCCACTTTTCCGCCAGATTTTGAGAAAATCTTCGTAAATCTCGCTTTGAGAGCTTTTGCTATGGGTGAATCCGATTTTTCTCTCCAGATTGTAAGCGTGAGTGCGAGAGTGACATTGCGAAAGGAAGCTGTACAGCGATGACTGGGGCAAGACAATTTTTCTGCACGATATGATCCACTTTTCCGCCAAATTTTGAGAAAATCTTCGAAAATCTCGCTTTTGGGAGCTTTTGCTATGGGTGAATCCGATTTTTCTCCCCAGATGTAAGCGTGAGTGCGAGAGTGACATTGCGAAAGGAAGCTGTACAGCGATGACTGGGGCAAGACAAACTTTTAGCACGATATGATCCACTTTCCTCCCATTGAAAATATCTGAAAATGTTACTTTTGAGCTGTTGTGGCAATACATGTGCTGACAAATTGGAATTTCACTTGAGAAAATTTTAGGTATGAAAGACGTTTATTTATGGGTGTGCCCTACCCGCTGACTAGCGACCCGTAGGGTCGCTAGTCTTATATATAAAGCTGAATGTGTGTCTGTCTGTCTGTGTACCTAGTCATCCTCGTGTTACGGTCCTAAGCGACGCAATTATCCCGCCCTTAAAGTTAATTTACTTTAGTATTTTTCCTGCTCTTTTTCTAAATTTAGCAAATTGCTGGCAAATAATATAATGGAATGGCCAGCGCCGCGGTCCGCCTGGACTCGGCTTTTTATGCTGCAGGGAAATCTGGATACTCGTTAAAGGCAGCGTCCGGGCGAAATTTCGCCTCTCATGTTTCTGCCATTCTGGGACCTTTCCGTGGCCCTGATTACAGTTGCGAAGTCCAAATTGTTCAAAACCCCCAAAAAACCCGATTCTTGGGGACCCTCTCTTCAAGGAGCGGACGAGTTTCGGATTGCTCGTCCCCATCGCATGCCAGCTTGAGGAGCTGCACTGCACGGATGCAGTTAACTGCACACCTGCGTGAGCACTCGTCCTCAGAGGTGGTTTGTGATACGAAGGGGTGGTTTGTGATACGTATCACAGGCCCGTATCTCTGTAAAGTTTAACGAGTTAATTACTCTCGGGACTTGATCCCTCTACCCTGTTGTATAACATCTTAACAAAACAGTTCTTGACTAGATGATTTTATCATTATAACATGTATATAAAAATGGGGGACATTAATGGGGAGGGGACCACCGAGCACCCGGGGAGTGCCAGCTCATCTGGAGATTCCGGGCACCGCCCAGCTGGCGTGGAGCCTGTCGGACCATCTAATTAGTCTGCGTCTCGACATGTCCATTCCATTGCAAAGCTCGTCCTCGAGCTTTCATCTTTGATTATGGCTCGGGAAGAAAAACCATCGTAGCTTTTGATCATCTTGGTCTGCACGTTTTGACCATTTGACCATCATCATCGTCATCATCATCGTCATTTCGTCATCAACCATCATCATTGATCGATTTCTAGCTTATCGTCGTATCGTCATCGATTGAATTCTGGTCTATTTGATGTCGTTGGTTGCTGGCGTATTGATTATCATTGCTCGAGTATCGATCATTGCTATACCATTCATCTCATCGAGAACCATGCATCTTTTCGCGTTTGCTTTCATCGTGGGGGAGGGGGAATTGAAGTCATCGTGGGGGAATTGAACTTCATCGTTGGGTTGCATCTGCTGGATTGCGTCTTCACGTTACATAGAGGAGGAGCGGGCAAGAGACAAGGCAAACGAATGGAGCACGAAGCCACACGATCCGTACTTCCTGTCAACAAAGTAAAGCTCGTCCTCGAGCGGAAGACATATATATGTTGTAGCAAAATGGGATACTTATTCAGAATGGAGTCAATAGGATGATGACTTGTGTGGGGGAATATGGAGAAGGCATGAAATCACACGTAATAAAATAGTATAAACATTACAACAAGTAGAAATTCAAATGTAAAACATGAAATGTCGAACGAAAAGATAGAATGTGTCATTCGATGTTTTCGTTACTGTCAAATATCGACATAAATGCACCGGAATTTCACAACATTTGATTATCGAGTTCACAACTCGAAAGGAAAGAATTTTCTAGCGTTGCTTACAAGGGCTTGAAGTAAAAGTGAGTGTTTGAAAGCGTTCTTCGACCCGCCAGTCGAAGAATTCTTTCTTTTTATAGTGCGTAGGCTTGCGGCAAACTTACTTCGTACCAGTAGCCGCTGCGTTAATGAATTTTGTGAGGTTGCTACTGGCACCTTTCACTCATTACGAGGGAGACCAATCCGTTCCTTGTCTCGGACGCTCTGAACGTCTGAGATTAGGCTCACTAGAACGTGGAGTCTCTGCCTCTGTGTGACTAGATTGTGGTTGCACAGAGACTTCACGCTCCTGCGGTCTGCTGTAATACAATTTGAGTCTGTTCACATGCACTGTTTGTGACTTATTGTTGAACAGACTTTTTATGGTGACATT